GTAACTGCTGACTTGTTCATTATACAACTGTTCTATTATTAGGCGAAAAAAATCTCTAATCAAGTTATCTCGTTTTCGAATTTTCAAAATTAAGAGATATATGGTGATATTATCGAAAATTAACGTTTGTATTCAATTATATGAGCATTGGAATAATCGATGTTAATATAACTTTTAACTAATCTAGTTCGTTTTTCAAAAGTATTTATAGAATTGTATAACTAGAACTGTTTATCAATCTTCTATAGGCTTTATAGGTAATTGATTAAATTTAACATCCCATCACATTTTTTTTTAGCAAAGTGTAAACTATCATCCATCTGTTGTGATGGGATAATTCATGAATAAATGATTCGTAAAAATTGTTATCCATCTAGTAAAGTATAACGGTTGTTACAAAGAAATGTAGCTTCAAACAAGCAGCTGATAGGTAATCTACAAGAAAATATTGTGTTGTATTCTTTGCGTCCGTGTTAATTTTCATTTCATGACCCGTTTTATTCTTCTGAAGAGAGTACAGTGTTTATTTTCAAATCCGACTACTTTTATATGTACTTCCAAAATTTTAACTGTTCCTAAAAATGTGGTAAGACAAAGAGAACCAGGTGGTAGACTCAACAATAGTTTCATTAACATTATTCAACTTGTTAAGGTAAAGATGCAACTAATTCGCTTAAGAGGCTATACTAATCAAACGTGTACGATTAGGTTTAAACAATAAAACTGATTTATTCTTTCATTTTCATATTATAGCATATACTTGTTATTACGTTAAAACAATAATTATCTTCTCATTTCTGATCAATGTAAAAATACACTCTTCAATATACACCATGATTCTTTTAAAATCACTATTGTTAATATCAATATGAAATTTAGTTTCAGATTTCTTCAATTACTCATGAGAATGATAATTTCATTCATGATTCATTTATACAAGATTGGTTTCGTACTTCATTCATAAATAAAAATTCCTAATAGACTAAACATATCTTTGATTTTCTCATAAGTATTACCACTATTATCATCCATTAATTTATATATATTTAGTCTACTTATATTAATAGCAAAGGTTTAAATGATCTACATCAAGTATTTATACTCGTAATAATTCAGTTTGATAATCAGTAATTAAAAAACATCCATTCACTTTATCTGTATTTTCTAATGTAGTTGAAGTGTCAATTATGATTATTGTTAATTTTATTTGTGTTCTATGAATAGAATGGATTCAATGCTTGTCATAAAATGATGATTATTTCCCCCCCCCCATCGCCCCCCTCAAAAAAAACAAATCAAAACAAAACATTTACGTTATGGGCAGTTGCATTTACCAATACAAAAATATATGAGCATTCTATAAAAACATTATTTTGTTGGTATTTTTCATGTTATATACTAATGATATTAGAACCAATTTTCTAATGATTAATTTTTTTCATCATGACTTATTTATCCCAATAAGCTAAAATGTAGACAAGTTTTGATCAGTTTTTTTTTTGTTTATACAGGAAGTAATCTATCAAATCATCCATTTTATGATAGAAAATATTTAATGTATTCAGACAGATTATTTGTAGATCTATTATTATCCACTATTAATGGTTGTATAAATGAATAAGCAATAATCTGTGAAGTACTTATTACATAATATGCTAATAATATTATCAGGAGTTTAAATATTAATATCAGATGAGTTTTGTGGATATTGTAGTAATTTCAATGGTTAAGATCATGAGTCAGTTGAAGCTAGACCACCATGGGATTCCTCAACAGTGCGCATCCACAACCTCGCCCCCCTGTGAGATTCGAACCCAGGACCTACTGGTTTTGCGCGCGAGCACTTAACCACTAGACCACTGAACCGGCCGGCATCCAACAGTGTTAATGTCTAACTTCAACTAATCCACGAAATTGAGCGATACATCCACCATTGTCTTCAGTGAGTTACTATCTCACAACAGACCTGGTTGAACTCCACTGGTCACTACTTCTCACTAGAACTCCAGGATATACCTCGTGAAGCCAGTCACTAGTGAGCATATGTTGATTAATATCAGATGGGTATTTTGTGGAGATTGTAGTAATTTCAATGGTTAAGATCATGAGTCAGTTGAAGCTATTGTTCGTAAATTCATAATATGAGTTTATATAAGCTAAATGTATCTTACATATTAGATGAAGATAGTTTATTAATAAGCTATGTAAATTTATTAGAATTCGGAGATAAACATTTGATTTCCATTAACTAGTGTAATAATGATTTCTATCAATTAACAGTTTAGCACTAGTATTTAGCATTGCTAATCTTTTATTTATTTATTTTAACACATAGATATTGGTACAAGGAGGCACCAAAAACATATGCGCCAAACAAATCTCATATGATTTGTGTGAGGGCTGTGATACTGCATTGCTAATCGAATGAAGATTAACAAAACACTGGAAAACATCTTTAAATGAGTCTTTTTGTATTAATCATAGGTACTATATAAACTATCAGTGTCATATCATTTAGTTATTGAAATAAAATGTTTATTTCCTCAAATAAGACATTGCAGTTTTAGAAAGATGATAGATTCATAAAAGAAAGTCATATAACAAGTTGAGATGCTTGCAAATCTCTGAAGAATTTAAAAGATAGCTGAGTATTATGGTATAATTTGATGACATCTTGTACATGATCAGTGTTTTTGGAAGTTAACACGAGTAGGATAATAATACCCATTAGACTTCTGTGATTCATTTTATTTTTAGAAAATATACTAGTTAACTATAAGACATTCAGTGTTGTCTAGAAGTGAACATGCAACAACCGTAGTTAAAGTCATTGACTACAGTTTTACCAAAATACCTACTTTTATCTTTTTTTCTTGTGATAATTTTCAAAAGACAATAATTAGTTACAAAAGTGATGGTTAAATCTAAAGCTTTACATTATCAGTGAATAACAAATACTTAATGCTTGAATACATACTGATAAATTGAGATCAAATATTTCAAGAGTAATTCACATTTATATAGCCTAACAATTAACTGAAGTTATCTATGATAAATATCACTTTCCACTTTTCTAATTATAAATAATTCCCTCCTTAATTGTATTACGAACTAAAATAAATATAACTGCGCAGCTCTTATTTTCCTTTTGGACAACAACATCAATGCTTACTTTACGTGAACCTCAGAGATTAAACTATTAAACGCAGAGGATAGAACACTGTTATAAGTTACTATCTAAGCAACAAATCTTCTTCATTATTTCTATACTTTTATGGAGCTTATTTCAAATGAATAAAATGTACTGTATGATTAGAAAAAAGGAAGCTCAAAAATCTGAAATCTACCTCCTTGAACCATAAATCTACCTAAGCCTGAAATTTTTATATTGTTTTGTGAATGCCCGTAATTTTAACCGATAAGCGATAAATTTTTTTTCTAAATCACTACTATATTTTCGTTATAATAGTTAATTTGTGACTGAATATATCAGGCATTTTTTTGTCTGAAGAATAGTTTCATTCAAACAAAAGCTTTAAAGAAAGTTATAGGCTGTACATTTAATTATTTACTATATTTGTTTCGATGAAAAATAAAGAAAATGCCTAAATCCGTTTATTAGCCTAAATTCTTTACTATATAGAAAAAAAGGAAATGAAGTAACAATGCTTTTTTAGACAAACTATTCCTTAGGTCTAACTAATCCATATTTAAGCATAAAATATTTTCATTGTTATTCGGATTCGACTTTTTCTGTTTCTATCGAATCATTTGAAAAGAAAGAGAATTAATATAAATAAGAAAGTATTATTAGAATGGGTTTTGTGGAGACTTTTAGAAAATTCACTTGTTGAAATCATGAGTCAATTGAAGCTAGACCACAATGGAAAACCTGGAAGCACTGGACAGCCGTTTCGTCCTAGTATGGGACTTCTCAGCAGTGCGCATCCACGATCCTGCACCCCGCGAGATTTGAACCCAGGACCAATCAGTGAGATAATAACCCACTGAAGACAATGGTGTACGGTGTTGCAACTTTGCGGATTGGTTGAAGTTAGACATTCACACTGTTGGACGCCGGCTCAGTGGTGTTGTTGGCTAAGCGCCCGGCGCGAGACTGACAAGTCCTGGGTTCAAATCTCGCAGGGGGCGAGGTCGTGGATGCGCACTGCTGAGGAATCCCATACTAGAGCGGAACGGCTGTTTAGTGCTCCCAGGTTTTCCATTGTGGTCTAGCTTCAACTGACTCATGATTTCAACAAGTAAAATATATGGGAAATGGTTGAAAATAAAAAAGGCACTTCAGTTTTATATTACTGAAATCCTATTAGTAAGTCATTATTTCCTTACTTTTGATTAGAAGAATACATTTTATGTATTAGAATATTTAACAGTTATTTCACATCAAGAATGTTTTTGTTTTCAGTTGTACTTATGAAAAGAGTATACTGTTTAGATTCTATGTCTTCAAAATTGATTGTCCTAATTGATGTGAAATGGCTGAATGGTGACTGTTCAACTAAACCAAGTTATTGATATAAATTTCCTTTAGTGAACACATCTAAAGACATGATGAAACACCAGCAAAAAGAACGGTATTTCCATCCAATAAATTAAAGCGAGGCATAAAGGAAAACTCAATTGCCCCAGCTTTCAAGTGACGAGTCTCAAAAATAACGACATGAGTATACTGAATTGTTATGCTTGCCTTAATGCATTTATTCCATAAATGTGTAAAAAAATGTTCAACATTGAGGCATTGGTCATTGAGTACAAACACACTAATAAATAGTGATTATACTTCAGTCCTGGATATCAACAGCAAAATATTTCAAACATTGACAAATGATTGAATAGTCCAGGCATGACATTTAAAGACTGTTATTGTTTAATCATTATGAGTTCAACCTTACCATTAATAAATTAATCGATTCAGAACAAACGAATGGAATAAAAATTTGTTCATTTGTTTCCTACAAAATATGCCATTAACTACTTACCTCATGAATAAATGTATTACGAGTCATTCTTTTTGTTCTCTGAGGCTCTTTTGTTGTCAAATAAGCTGAATGCATGAATTCTTCAATTTCTGTACCCATAATCATCATACTTTCCTAAGTTAAAAAACACACAGGAGAAATATAAACTTTACACACTTATAGTAATACTTACAATATAATGAGATCCTTAATATTATCATTATTTACGTTAAATGACAAAACAATTGTGAATTTGAACTTATTTTAATCCAACACAAAATTGCAATGGTAAATTTCCATAACTTCTGGAGAAAATCAAGTTTATGACGTAACAGTTGTATAATAAATGTAATCAATTGTCTGATTTGAATTATCTTTTTTCTAGATCAGACTTGCATATATTATTTCCACTTTTCTTGTTGGACACTACTAAGGAGGTCGAATCTACATTGAAACCACTACAAATCCCTTCTAACCTCATCATTTGTTCATGAACTAATTTGGTCACTTAACTTATGCATTCCAGATATGTCAGATATGTCTGTATGAATAGAATGTGACCCTGTCAATCATGTGACATGAAAATGATTGATGTTAGGTTTATCTGTTCATTGAGACGCTCACGGACCACCATTCTGAAGTATATATATATATATACTTCATTTTATTATATTGCATAGACATAAGCAGTATAGGAAAGGAATCAAAAGTGATATGCTTACCGACAGAAGATTGAAATGAAGAGAATACAAATGAAAATGGAGAATGGTTGGAATACTAACAGGATTTAAAGAATAATGTATTATATCAAAGATGTGCAAATGATGTATCAATGTATGATTTCTATTTTTAGCAAAATCACTGTTCGATTTTGTATAAGACAATAAGTTGACTTGCCGTATTTCAGTTTCCGCTCACCACATATCAAATCTCTTCTATAGTGATTAGTTTTCTCGAGTGAACGCTACTTTGTTATATCTGGTCGTCGCTGATTATTATGACGGAATCACTCATCACTTATATTCGAAAACGAGGAACCACTGTAACTTCCACAATTCGAGGTAAGAACACTAATACTGGAATATGTAAAGATTTCTTAATCTCAAAACACGACGACCCTTGTCTAACATACACATATATTGATTGTACACTCACTTTGATTATTAATTAGAATAAAATCGCATATATAAAAATGCCCAGAATTATAACAAACCATATGCTACTTATCATGCTGAGTATAGTTCAGGTTAATTGAATACAAAACTATCGTGTTATACAGTATAAAATATCATACGGGAAAACATAAAAAATACTACACTGAGTAATTAACACACCGAATTAAAGCGTAAGTAATATTGAGTGAAAATCATAATAAATCAGTCTAATTCTGACTTTTTTTCTCTTCATATCACCTCCCCCTATTTTTTTGAAAACTCGAAGTTTAGATCCAAACATTGGAATTTTTTGACTTTATCTACCCTCACGAAATAATGTTAGATCCTCATATTCTCAAGATACACTTAATGTGACTTTATTTAAAACATATTTTTTGAAGATGAACGACACTTGATTTGAGGTCATCATGGGTCTGATTCTTCTGAAACATTTTCATCAAATTTATTGAAAATATCATTAGCGGATAATGGATCACTTGGATAATCAGCATCCAACAAAATTGAATTAGGTTTTTGATTATCATTTGATGCATCCGACATATTTTTCTCATTTTTGTGAGAAATTTAATCAAAAATATGTGAATCATTAGAAGAACTCGTATCTAGAAAAAACAACTAGAGAATCCCGATAAGTAGATTCATGGGAAACTTTTGTCGCAGATTGATGAATTCCATTTGGTACAACTGTATTCAGTATGCTGCTCAATTTATTTTCTATTTCTTCGTGAGCGGGCACTGTAACAATTTCATGAGCATTTAACAAGACACCGTCTTTCTGTGAGCTGGGTAAGTCACTGCTTGTACACTGTGTTTCGAGGATAATAGGCTTTGAACCCACTACAGGGTATGTCTCTAAAATAAACATTACTGAGCTACTGGGCGGATTATGTATGACTGTTACTGTTTCGTTTAAATTACTGCTTGTCTAGGATTCATGGAGGCCTTTACTGACACATTCATTCATTCTGCAATCATTTTCCAGCTCTGTACGCAATTTAGAAATTAATTCATTAACTTCCGTCACACCGCAGCAGACGTGAGCGTAATTTATCTATAAATTCCAACTGATTTTTTTCAAAACGTTGTTGTTGCCGCTGAAATAGCAACTGCAGGGGGAGCCATTTTCTGTTTCTGTATGAATCAGCACGGTAATAAAAAATACTGTATAACTAATTGACGACACCGACGAAATAATTACGTTGGTTTCATCCAATTACTGGCTGACCTTGGTTCTTTTTTTCACACCGTCGCCAATGATTTGGCTTCTAGTTGAACGCTAATTGTTATGACTGGTGGTCGACTGTTCGAACTGCGTCACCACTGATATGCCTTCTTTTTGAACACTAGATTCGGCTCCTAAGCTCTGCTAGTAACTCCGAAACACGGCGACGACCATAGTCGAAAATACGCTCATTTATGTATTGATTCGTATACCCATTTTGATTAATAATTAGGATGAAATCACAGATATGAAAAAATACTTTCATTTATAACAAATCACATGCTACATGTTATGCTTAGTATAGTTTATGTTAACTTATACACAAGAATATGGTATGTTATACAGAATAAAATATCATACGGGAAAACAAAACAAATACTATATTGTGCAATCACCGCAATGAATTAAAACGGAAGTAATGTTGAACGAAAATCATAGTGGGTAAAAAGAATCTAATTTTGACTTTTCTTCCCGTCATATCATATAGATGTTTGTTGTTTTATTACATCTATATCTAGAATGTTCCCCCAACGAAATACAAGTTGATAAACCTTTCTATTGGTATTGGTATATAGATATGTCACTAAGATATAATATTATGCAAATATGGGTTCCGATCTCGCGAGGCGGGATCGTAAATGCGCACTGCTGAGAAGTCTCACAATGGAACGAAACGGCCACTCAGTGCTTCCAGGTTTTCCATGGTGGTCTAGCTTCAATTAATTCATAATCTCAACGACTAATATCCACAAAATTCCCTTCTGATATTAAGCATGGATATCACGTGTACGAAAAACTATGTGTTTTAAGCAACCTAACTTTACTACTCAATTGTAGTTATACAGTGTAAATCAATTGATATCAGTTGGTTAGTAAAAACAAAACATTCACATAAAATATAGAATTGAGTTGTTGATAATCTCTTGTCATGTTCAAGGTTCTTAGTACATGTGTATGATATGATGTCCAAATAAATGGATCTGATTGTAAGGCGTCCAATATATTGGTTCACTAATTACCCATAAAATCTTGATACAATAATAAATTAAATTACAAATGAATTTCAATCCAATTTATCCTCTATTGAATATGCTGTATTTAACCATGTCATTTTGTTGTACAAAACGAATCATTTTTCACTAACTGGCCATTTTATCTTCTGATTTCCACTAACTAAGGGTCCTGAGTCAGTTATTCATATTTGTGTGTAACTATGATTAGACCATATGAATTATATAACATTAGACAATCTAGTTACACATACATTATATTATATACAGCAGCATTTATATATTGCAGTTTTTTAGCTCGTTATTAGTATATTTCTAATTGAATTTAAACATATTAATGTTGACATGATCATTTCAAGCAAATCCAGTTTTTTACATGATATTCATAGACCGTATTTTTCTAATTCAAACAAGCTGACTAGTGAAATTTCCTCATTATATGTTTAGCCATCTTTGGTTTTTATTACACTTTCGTTAGTTAAACGTAAAGTATGTAGTGGATACATAAAATTTCGGCACATGTTGAAATAAACTAAAAGATTTATCTTCTATCCTCAATGAAAAACTGACCCCTGAATGTTGACTCGCGAGACTGATAGGTCCTGATTTCGAATCTCGCAGGGGGCGGAATCATGGATGCGCACTGCTGAGGAGTCTCATACTAGGACGAAACAGCATTTCAGTGCTTCCAGGTTTTTTATGATGGTCTAGCTTTAATTAAATCAGGATTTCAACTATTGAAATTTCTAAAAAAAAATCTCCACAAACGCTTTCTGATAATATTTATTTATTCAATATAAGTAAATTATAAAATTCTTACAACTAACCATGAAATATCTGATTAATTCCTTGTCTATTAGTTACAGCTCTCTCTCCCTCTTTCTCTCTCTCTCTCTCTCTCTCTCTCTCTATATATATATATATATATATATATATATATATATAAATTAACTCTGACCTGATTTCCTTTGTTCTTTCAAATGTAATTATTCAGCACTACCTTAATGTACTTTTAACCTTAACCATTAATACATGATAAATTGCTTTTCTATATTTATGCATGTCAACAAATGTATTTTTATTTTTTTTATTTTTTTCCCCATTTTCAAAATATCCTGCAGTTTATGATAAGTTCAACAAAATAATCTGTGATGAAATAATATCTATATTTAAATAGAAATTAATTAGTTAACTTATTTCTTATAAACAGTAGTATGTTCAGTATAGTTTAATTTCAAAATAAATAATTGTTACTTATAGCAATCAATCTTATTATTAAGATCTATGTGTTGGGAAAAAAAGAACATAAATCTGAATGAATTGCTTAAAGCAACTGTTTACAGTTTTTCCGCGTCTCTTAAATGAATTTTTACCATAAGTTCTTTTGCTTATTTTTGTCTCAATTCCCAATTCATAAACATGATTATTGAAAACACAGCGGTTAACTGAACTTGTTTATATAATCATCAACGGAACAACTGATAAAATCAGGTTTCAATGGGAAATATATTAAATTTTAACTCTGTGTGAACTTATTCATATGGGCTATTGAAGTGTTTAAAAGCTTTCCGAAATAGTTGTTCAAAATAAACATTGAATTGAACAATTTCTATAAATCACTATTCTAATATTATCATTTATATAAACACATGTATATCATGAATAAGTGAATTTCTGAGATGAAACATTAATGAAATACTACTATCTCAAATACTTACTTTCTGTTAAAGTGATATCAAGTGAAAGAGTTTGTTCGCATGATTAGGTTAACAAATAATCTAATGTATCTAAATTGATCCTTGTTATTTTAATTGCCTAAGAATTGATTCACTGTCTGAAACATTCATCATATGTTCTAACACTTACCAACTACCTCAGTTTAACAAGCCATTCAGTATCAGCACACGAAATGTGTTGTATAAAATTGTGTAAACTCATCTATGCTAATTTACTGAGTTTCATTGTCGATTTAAACAACTTATGATTCTTAAAAGATTTGTGTATATCTCATCACCATCAGTAAACAAAAATAAAATAAGATCTAATATTGATACATACATTTTCACGTGATATTATTGATGGTGCTTTATTTATCCATGCTGGAACTGTAATAATTGGAGTATGATTTTTGGTTGTCATTAGCTCAAATAGAGCAGATGCATTATTCACTTGATCCATATGATGTAATTCAATAATCCATATAGGTGGACATGCACAAATGAGATAAGTGAAATTACACAGTGAAAACCTAATATAAAGAAAAAAATGGGAAGAATATGTTAGTTGACAGAAAGATTAATAGATATGTGTATGTATAACCCCAAACAGTTTACTGAGTTTAACACGATAGTATTCAGTATCCCGTATATAATGAAAAATGATGACTTGTTGATTTACGTACTTAACATTCGATCATTTGAAAGTCAGTTTGAATTTCAATGACCTCATTTAGTTTGATCAGTAACAGAAGTCCCCAGAAAAATTGTTAATCTAAGCAGAGGTACGTGATTCATACTTAACTAATAATGCAGTGATTTGTGAACTTAATACAAATAAAACTACCAACAACAAAATAGTGAGCAGTCAGCCGGACATCAGTTTATAACAAAATGGCTTGTTGAAAGCACTCTAAAATTGTTTATAAAGTGAAGAAGCACGATAAAAATTATGTTTTACGTTCTAATTGCTTCTATGTCCTCCAACCTTTAGACTAGAGATAAACAAGACACTTATTTAAATTTCTTCCTAGTGCACAACAATAGAGTTATCCTAGAGACCTTTATCCCTATCTATCAATATTATTTGTGACGGGAGCAAGGATCAATAAACACATATCAAGACAAGGTGAAAGATTATCAATTCTGTCAAAACGTGTAGGGTTTATGCAAATCCGTCTTAGAATTAAGAAAGGTCATACAACAGAGCAATTTGTTTGACTAAATGTGACTTCTTTATGCACTTTTTAAAAAAGATCTTATCATATGTTCTTCAGATTATCTCACAGTAGTTTTTCAAATGTAGCTACGTAACTTTCAAGAAATCATATTTTAAGTTTGTGTTAGGGTAGATATTACACTTAAACAGATTTTCAACGTCCCACACTGAAATCAGTATAACTTTAAGTAGGTACTGTACAGGTTACATAGCGCGTGATACGACAATTAACTTTTTTATATTGAATAATCTTAGTCAAAAAGGCGAAGATTGGCAAAGCAAGGGCCTCATTCCTACAATTGAAGAACATATGGAACTCAAAACAACTGTCAACCAATATCAAAGTCAAAATCTTCAATACGAACGTCAAGGCACTTCTACTGTATGGAGCTGAAAATTAGAGAACTACAACAACCACCATCAAGAAGGTACAAATATTTATAAATAGCTGTCTACGCAAGATACTCAACATCCATTGACCAGATACCATCAGTATCAGGATTCTGTGGGAGAGAACAAACAATTTTCCAGCTGACGAAGAAATTAGGAAAAGACGATAGAAATGGATAGGACATACATTACGCAAATCATCAAACTGCATCACGAGGCAAGACCTAATTTGTTACCCTGAAGGGGAGCGGAAAAGAGGAAGGCCACAGAACACATTACTTCGGGAAATAGAAGCAGGTATGAAAAGGGTGAATAACAACTGGAAAGAGATGAAAAGGACTGGCTAGAACAGGGTTGGATGGAGAATGCTAGTGAGCGGCCTATGCTCCTTCACGAGGATTAACAGGCGTAAGTAAGTAAGTAATTTTAATCAAAGAAAATAATAAAGTAAACTCTAGTTAACACATATTTGGTTGCTTAAACATCCTTAGTTCGCTACATGAGCTGAAAGTTTTAAGCCCAAATTCATGTGTGATAAAACATGTGAACTGTTGATGAGCTCTAACTCATTGCGAAACTGTTGTTTTGCGAGATTTTTGATTTTCCATGATACTTTAACTAACTTCAGTTCGTGAAAAACATGAATCATAACAAAATCTTGAAAGAATTTCTTTGTTAAATTACAAATGGGTATTAGTCTTAATTATTGTGACTTTAACTTCTCTTTTGTATACTTACCTAACTTACTTATGCCTACCAATGAAATCAAGTTTGTAAACTGACGTTATTTATAAAAACAATTAAACAAAAGAAGATTATTATAATAAAATCTCTTGTTAAATACTAGACAAAACTAAATCCCTAAATTATTGGTTAGTTATTAACTCTGCGTAATAATGGTGCATTAGTATTCAAATTGTTAATTATAATATTGTTATGCTTCGTTTAGTAAACACTGCAAGGAATATTTCAATAAACTTCCTAATTGTATACACAAAATGCTCCTAACTATTAGTACTAATATTAGTTCTTTCTTGGTATCTTTATTTGTTATTGGGATAAATATTTCATACATCATTTAAAGATGATTTCGATTATAAAAAAACATCAGTTGAAAACCTAATAAAAACTTAAGGAAGTACTGATCAACAATTTTGTCAATCAATAAGCCTTCTGTGAAGGATCGTATTATTTACTTTCAGGTCAAATCAAAGGATCAGTGGAATTTTAAAACAGTAAGCATCAACGTTCAACTGTCGATACTTCGTCAGTTTCAATTGTAATGGTTTTTCAGTCATTGTCTGTGCGAGATGAACTGTATTTACTGAATAAACTAGCTTCTAAAAACCAACAAATAGAAGAATATTTTTTATATACTACTGAATATTAGAATGATTTTTTGAAGCACTATGACTTCTTGTATACTGACTCGTTAAACAGCACACAATTTATACAAGCTAGTATATGTTTTAAAAGTAGAACTGACCCATTCAATCAAATACTAAATAAATACGAACAACTCTGAATAATAAAGATGTCATGCATTATCAAAGTTGATAATACATAATCCACACTTGATATTACACTTATTTTATACCTAAGGATTATAAAAAAAAGTGATTCTCAAAATTAACATTTACATCCGTATCCAAACATTTGATAGTTTTTGCATCGAAACTATTAATGTGAAATAAAATTTACCATATTTTATGAACTGTATTTCAATTTTTACTCAGATAATTTACTTTGGTCATTTAAAAAAAATCTATAATGTTTTTACCTCCATCGAAACTATTTAAAAAACAACTTTAAATGAATACAAATCTAGAAGAAAATAAAATAACGATATTACACAATTTAATTGTTTCCTAATCTATTTCTATGATTTAACTACATTCTATACATTGCATACAACTATTCCTATTTCATTTTAACCTTTAATAACTGAATGTTATAACAAATCACTAGTTAAAATTGACAATTTAAACAAAAGAAACGATAAATCAACAGATTAGTTTCTATAATATAACTTTGAACCAAAAAAATACCGTTGAATTATCATTGGATATGTTAATTTTAGAAACTACATTTAGTATCCTATCCATATATATATATATATATAGAGAGAGAGAGAGAGGGCGGGAGGGAGAGTTGGAATGTGTAAATGTCCAATTAAATAGACGAATCTAGAGAAAACAGAACAACCAAAACAAATATTATTATTTAGTATTTAAATAAAACATAAATAACTTGAAGAATTGACAGAATGTCGATTATAATCTTACAATATAAGTATAGATTATACCTAATCTTAATACTTTTTTGTAGTTAAATGTTAACTAAAAATCATATAAAGTACTAAGTAAATAGAAATACTTTTAGTGTTTAAAAAACACACAATTAAAATGAACCTTTTAACGAATGGAAGATGTAATATAAACTAAAGTTCAAGGTTAGTATATATGGTTAAATACAATTTCTTTAAACATCAAGTTATGTGATAGCAGAAATGTATTTTTCTTTTTCTCATATAAGTAAATGAAAATATTTAGTCTTTCTTAATGACAAATGTGAATGTAAATTATACTAAATATATTAGATTTGATAAATTTAGTTTTATAAGTGTATAGTTGTTCGTTAACACTGTTGGATGCCGGCTCAGTGGTCTAGTGGTTAAGTGCTCGCGCGCGAAATCAGTAGATTCTGGGTTCGAATCTCGCAGAGGGCGAGGTCGTGGATGCGCACTGCTGTGGAGCCCCACAATAGGATGAAACGGCCGTCCAGTGCTTCCAGGTTTTCCATGGTGGTCTAGCTTCAATTGACTCATGATCTTAACCATTGAAATTACTATAATATCCACAAAACCCATCTGATATTCTTTATTCATCTATTTCATAGTGATATATAATTATGAAGAAAATATCTGTCAAAATACTACTTATATAAACTATTTAAGTAATAAACTTTATCAATAAATATTATTGAAAGATTAGATCAAGTTGTTTATGTATATTCATATTCATAACAATGAAACATTTACATGATTATTCATTTACATGGATGTTTCAAACATTATTTAGCAAAAAGATTGTTATGTAAATGTTCCAGAAGAAAAAAACATTTATTATAATGGAAAATTAGAACTCAATTAAATTGAACATTAAGAGATAGTGATAATTGAATAATATTGATTGATACCATATTTATTTATAAGATGAAAATATTAGAAATCTTCTTTTCTTTCTGACTTATATAATTGAATCTTCTTTTTAATTATACACCATCTAGTTTAGATAATTTGGTTGTTAACACACATCGCGATGATTCAATTAATTTACTTCGATAATCTTATCAATAATTGATCTTAGGTTCGAATGTTGAGGAGGCGGGATCATGGATGCGTTTTGCTGAGGAGTTCAATAATAAAATGAAACGGATGTCAAATGCTTCCAGGTTTTCCATGATGGTCTTTAAGTGTGGCGTCGAGTCGCGGTTAACTATGATCACCACTACAAGAATGTTGCGTGCCAGATATCAAAAGGCGATTGAAGGTTGTAGCGAGATATATTTGTTGGCGATCACGTATTATCGAAAGAATACCAAGATCGTGCCAAAGGAGTACAAGTGTGGTTACTGAGCGTAACCGAATACGTGCAAGGTCACAATCAACGGAAGAATATATGTCTTTCGTAAAGTTAAATAAACAAATACAGTAAAACAATCACTGGTACAATTGGTTATAATAATAATTGTTTCCATTAAACCAATCGCGTCCTCTGGATAAAAGTAGATCATTACAGTCTCACTTTAATTGATTCATGGTGTCAACTATTAAAATATTTTTTAAAAATATTTCTTATATTAATGAAATAAGATTTGCCAAGAATAGATATAGTTTCATAGAGTATTATTAAAATTTTTTTT